GCGCCGCGGGCTGCTGCTCCTGCTTTGCACCCCACCCAGGATACCTGGCCCATCTGAAGCTACCAGGCGTGGTCACCTCGGGGACATCCAAGGCCTGTTCTGGGTCCCCAGCTCGCCGTCCAGGCCATCGGCCAGGGGGTGGCTGAACCCGGACGCCGCGTGCATTGTCGTACAAGCAGCTTCCGCGGCTGGCTCTGGGGTCTGGCAGTGTCTTCCCCCGCCCCCGCCTGGGTTGCTGCCAGGATGTGCGTCTAGCGGCCCAGAGTGGCGGCCGCTTCCCATCCCAAGCGGACGCAGGTCCGGCAGCGCGCGGGACTCCTGCTCAGAGGCGCAGCTGAGACCCCCAGCCCCGCCTTGTCGCCCCTCCTGCCGGGACAAGTTCTCGCGGACAGGGGTGCGTGCGGACGCAGGCTGGGGATGGGGGTGCTGCCGAGCGCGCAGCGGGCCCCGCAGCCTCCGCTGAAACTATGGAGGGGCCCTCCCCAAATCTTCAGCGGGTCAGTGGCATATTAGGGCAAGGAGACCCCCCGCCCTGGACTTGGGGTGATTGAGGACCAGGGGTCATTCCAAGTAGATCAGCTCCTGGCTCTACGGCCGGACTGCTCCCCGTCTCAGGCTCAGCAGGGCAGGACTTGCCGGTTTCCTGCCGGGGAAGACGACGCTGCAGTGTTTGTTTCCAAGGGGTTGTCATGGAAACCGGGCGGCACAGCTACTGTTTGTCTGAGCCTTGTTGCTGGGCGGTGTCCGATGCACCACTAAGACACCTCTTTGGTGGCACTAGCTCCAGACGCCCCCAAGATGGACGGGAGGGGGGAATGGATGTCTTTGTCCCTGGGAACACGGCCCTCTCCCCCACCCACTGAGAGGCTGGGTTTGCGTGCACCCTCCCTCACACTCAAGCAGTGAGGCTGCTCAAAAATGCCATGTGACCACCTCACTCCCAGTTCAGGACCCCTGGACCCTCATACCCAGGCCACTCTGCTCAACTAGCTGTGCCTGGATAGCTGGTCTGCGCATGCCTCCCCCCCCGGGTTTCGGGCCCCCCCCCCCCCCCCCCACCTCTCCCCTGTCTCTGACTCAAGCTACTCCCATATCTGCATCTCAGTGAGGCAGCTCAGCCTGAGGCTCCCTGTGTCCCCACTTCCCAAGTTCCAAACTCCCAGAACCCACCCTTCAGGCTCATCTCAGCGTCATCTGGGCCAGTGACCCTGGCATCAGCCCTGGCACCCTTCTCCCCAGAGACTTCCCCAGCTCTTGGCTCCTTGACCCTATCCAGGTCAGGGTAGCTTCCTCTGGAGTCTATAGGAATTGGGGTAACATGACTCCTTCCTGCCCCTGGGTCTGGCTCACTGGCTTCTGGCTGCAGCCTGGGAGGCTGGATATCAAGAAAATAGCATGTTCCAGAGCCCTGGGCTCTCTATGCTGTTGGGTGAGCACAGGCAAGGGCTGGCTAGGGACCAAAGTGGCCAGGTGTGGGCAGCCCTTTTCCCCAGGGCCTGACTGGTTTTGGGTTTGGCTCAGGGCCATAAACAGGGCCTCAGCTGCTGGGCTGTAAGTCTGGAATTTGAGGTGGTTCTGCTTGGGCTTTGGTTCTAGGAAGCCAACTGGGCATCAAGCCCAGCCACAAGGAAGGGGAGGGCAGGACACCCCATCTGGCCAGACTCTGAGCCCTAGGCAGAGGGTGCAGCCCCACTAGCAGAGGCCGTACCCTTTGCATCACCCCAACAGCTATGCCGCTTTCAGGAGAGGAAAAAAACTGTCTACCTAGGCCCAAGGTATGATACCTGCAGGGCAGAGAGACCTGTCTGGGAATCACAATGTCCAGTCCCTCCTCACCCTCACTCCAGTATGCGTCCCAGCAGGTCAACCCTGGGGCCAGATTTCAGGCCTGACAGCCTTCCCAGGAGACAAACTACTGAAAATAGGCCCTGGGAACTTGCAATGTCCTGGACTGAGCCTGGAGGAGGGGCAGGGAGGGTGGACCCTGGGGCGGCCTGAGCCTGGTCTGGCCCCGGGCTCAGCATACTTTCCAGCGACAAGTGCTGGCAGAGCAGGTATCTGGGTGCAAAGAACACAGGGCAGGCCCAGCTGCCTTGGGGGACATCTTCACTGTCCACACCCTGAGCTGGGCACAAGGCTAGATGCTGGGTGAGGGCTTCAGGGATGTGAAGGTGGCTGCTGGAGGCAAAGGCAAACAGCACACTCTGCCAAGGAAGGGCCACCAGGGGCCCTTACCCAGAGGCTGAACTTTCCCCATGGGGGTGGATGACAGGATTCCTCAGCGGTCACTGGGCCCCAGGAGGCCCAGCCCTGCCTTCTCTGGCTGGCCAGCTGAGGGCGCAGGGGCGTGTGCAGAGAGAAGGCCGGGCAGATGAGGAGGAATCTGCCCCCACCCCTCCAGGTCTTAGTGCCCTCGTGCTGTGCTGGTACAGGGCAGAATGTTCTGGCACAGGGGCACCCAGGGCAACAGCTAGGGGTGCTCAGTGTCCTGTCCTGCCCACCACACTGCCTTCCATTGATGCGACGCGTACCAGTAGCACCTGGCAGTTTGCAGGGGGTGGAGCTGCCAGGGCCTTCACCTGGACCAGTGGTCCTGAGTCAGGTCGACCCCTTGGATCTGGTCAGTGGCCCTCCTCCACAGGCAGCCTAGGTCAGAAGGGGCCAGGTGAACTGAAGCAAGAGGCCTTATACCTGGGCATGGGCATGGTGGCCTGCAACTGATGAGGGGTCCCCACATCCACAGGTAGGGTGGATGGGGGCACATCAGCCTGTGGCTGAAGTTTTGGGAGAGTTCCAGGGAGAGGGTGTTGGTGTGTGTGCACGTACGTGTGTGTCTGTATGTGCATGTTTATGTGTGTGTCTAAGCGTGCGCATCTGGAAAAACTGCTGCGTGTCCAACTCAGAGGGTGCCGCCCCAGGGCTCCCCCGCCTGGCATTCTTCTCCCCACCCAGTGGACATGGCAACGGGAAATAACAGCAGGGAAGGCCAGGAAGGACTCAGGATCTGGTTTCAGGGGTGGGGGCACCCTGGGCAGGGCAGGGTTGGAGTCCGGTATGGGAGAAAGAGCCATCCCTAGGGCAGGGCAGTGGAAGGGGGACAAGGACCAGGTCATTTCTGCCACCTGCCCCAGAAAATGTCCCTCTGAGAGGAGCTGTGAAGCACCTTCCCAGGAGCCCCAGCGTAGGTTTGGGGTGGAGGCCAGACAGAAATGTGTGTAGCCATGTAATCTGAGACCCTACGCACAACACCAGACACACCTGACGGACGCAGCCCCACACAGGTATATCTGTAGGGGCCAGGACACGTGCGTGCACGTGTGTGTGTTGTACAGGCATCCAGTCCCTCCAGCTGCCGCAGTGCCTTATCCTGGCGGAGGCGGAGGTGGAGGAGCTGTGCCAGGTGCCTGTGGCCTCCACCCACACACTTCCACGATTGGCAGTGGCTGGTCTTCTTTATAAACAGCAAAGTGGGTGTGTCCCGGGTGTGGTCAGGTTCCAAGGGCCTACAGTAGTAAGATCCCCCTGCCCAAGACTGTCCTGGCCCTCCGGGGCCTCCCTCCTGTGGCCTGGGGCCCTGCTTGATCCTCCTCTTTCTGTCCTGTGTTCCTGTTGCCCTTCCTGGCCCTTGCGGTCTTGTCTCTGCTGTGCTGAGGACTGAGGTCAGGGGATAAAGGAAGTCAGGATTGGTTGGGGTTGTGGCTCAGTGGCAGAGCGCTTGCCTAGCATGTGTGAGTCCCTGGGATCTATCCCCAGCACCACATACAACTAAATAAACAAAAGAAAAGCATTGTGTCCATCTACAACTAAAAATATTAAAAAAAAAAAAAAAAAGGAAGTCAGGATTTGCCCTCTTAGGGCTGGGGACATAGCTGAGTTGGTAGAGCTCTTGCCCCGCATGCACAAGGCCCTGGGTTCAATCCCCAGCATCATGGAAAATCAAAAAGAAAAAGGATTTGGCCTCTTGTTATTGGACTAGCCAAGGAGACTCTAAGGGGCTTGTTGGAGGTGGAGGATGGTTGTGTTGGTGGCCTTAAGTCCAGGAACCACACAGTGGCTGGAGACTGGGGTCCTACCCCTTGCATATCCGTGTGCACCTCTGCTCTGGAAATCCCAGCTGACAAGGGTCTTTAGTATGTCCTTGAGGACTGCAGCACTCGCAGTACCTCAGCCCTGGGCAGTGACCTGAGGGGTCCCAGGGAGGATGGTGGGAACTGGTAAGTATTGTCAGGGGCAGGACTTGGCTTTGGGTTGTAGATACGGGGGACTCCCCGGAGTGTGGCCTCTGCAAGGGACACATGGGGCCTTGGTCATCCCACAACCCTGGGAACTCTGACCCTCACTCCGGCTATGGCCCAGTGAGGAGCAGGGAGGGGGCATCCTGGGATGTTGGACCCATGGCTCTTCCTTTGAGTACCCTGGGGAGGCCAGGGGCCTGGGGCATCAGGGAGCCTGTCCTCCTGCTCTGCTTCAGGGACAGGGCCTGAAGAGGCCCAGAGTGATGCCTTGTGTTTTGAGATGGGTGTACTGAGTGGAGGTGGGTGCTGATAAGGGGGTTAAAGGGCAGGCAGTGCAGGGAGAGGAAGGGCCCATATGTGTGCCAGGGCCGGGATGGAGAGAAGGCTGAATACTTCCTGTGGGGGCCCCACAGAGCAGGAAGGACTTCTACGGAGAGGGTAGCCCTCTGCTCCAGGGGGAGGTGGGCCTGGCTGACAGTGAAGCCAGCACAGGAGGGTTAGATAGAGGGATGGGCCAGGGCATCCCCACTGAGGCTGAGGCCTGGACTAAGGGAGGCTGGAAGCCCCAGCAGTCCCACCTTGGTGAGGCTGCAGATGCAACTCATACCCCAGGTATCTGTAGGCCAGCAACAGCCCTCCTGATTCTCAACACGCTGGGTCAGACGGTCTCTGGTTTCTGGCTGGCCCCCAATGTAGGCTGGAGACTTGGACCACTCTTGGTGCTGGGACACTTTCTGTAAAGATAAGGACCTTGGCCCCTGTCTCAGGTTCCCCCAGGCAATGGTTCCGGGGGCCTGGGCTCCTCTATCCTTGTGGAGGAGGGACTGCCATGGCCTGAAGTCCCCTCTTCCAAGTTCCCCAGGGACGTTCCGGCTGTGGTTCAGTGGACTTCCCAGAGAGCAGCAGGGTGGGGGTGAGCTGGCACAGCTCAAGTGCCCCACCCACTCCCAGGGTCTGGAGGGAGGAGGCTCCTGGCCTCTTTGTGAGTGGGAGATCAGAGCAGGATTCCTGGAGAGGTACCAGACTGAGACTATGGGAATGTGTCCCCAACCTTCTTTCTAGAAGAGAGGCAGGGTCAAAGTACGGGAGGAGACTTTCATGCTAGTTTGCATCCGTCTGTATTTTAGAAGTGACTGGTTCCTTCCCTGGCTCCGGCTGATCTGGGGCTTTGGCGGGTGCCTGCGAGTTGCCACTAGGGACCTGGTAAGCCTTCCTGCAGAGGAGAGCCCCTTGCCCCAGACCTGGGACTGTGGGCTGCTTGGCCTGGGGTGTGGACCTGCTGGACCAGCCTGGTTCCCAGAAGGTCCCCAGGTCTCCGCTGGACCCTCAGCCACTTTTGAGTTCTGCCCAGAGGCGGGCGTGGACCAGATGATCTTTCTAGGCGGGTCGGTCTGGATGCGAGGTCCCCAGGGTACAAGTCTCTGCCTCGGGGCGGGACTCGCAGGGCGGGGTCCTAAGAGGCGGGGCCCCAGGGTCCCTGAAAAGCTTACACCAAGCGGGCGTCACCCAGTCTCGCGCCCACAGCCCGCTCTCGCCCAGCATTCGAAGCTCGTTCGGTACCCAGTATCGCCATGCCCAAGTGCCCCAAGTGTGACAAGGAGGTGTACTTCGGTGAGTGAATCCTGCACCTGGGGCCTCCCCGTGCGCGCACTGCCGGCCAGATGCGGAAGAGCGACCGACCCTCCGGGGCGGGGGACGTACTGGCCATCCTGGAGACTTGGCGGGGGCCGCCCAGGTAGGCGCAGGGCCTCTGGAGTCCTGAGGGCCTCCTCGGAGCCAACCTGTCCGCCTGGCTCACGGTCGTCCGGGTGTGAGTTGGGACCCCCTGCGTCGGGCGGCCCGGCTATCTCTTCCCATTCACGGTTCCTGTCTCCCTGCCTCTGTGTCTCCCCGTCTGGTGACCCCTGGTCTCGATGTTTCTACGCTTTCCATCCACGCGCCTTGGGCGGGGTCCCCGAGGGATAGGAAGGAACGCGGGGCTGGGGCCTCCCCTGCCAGCGCTAAGTAGAAACAGATGCGGAAACCGACGCCCCGGGCGCGATCCCGGCACGCTCAGATGCGAGCGCCCGCCTTCCGGCCCCGCGCGCGCCCCGGGGAGGGGCAGGAGGGAGTGGGAGGTCCTCCGCCCCAGGAGAAAGGCGCCCGCAGGCTCCACCCAGTCCCCCGGCGCCAGGGGCCAGAGGGCTTCGCCAGGCCAGCCTGACCCCAGGCTTCCAGTCCGCCTACTCCACCCCAGCCCTCGGGGCGTGTCCCAGGCACAGCACCTGGAAGTGGCACGAGGGCCAGACTCCTCTGATTAGTTTGGCTGGGGACTAGAGGTGTGTCCCTAATATGTACAGGGGCAAGAAGAGACGGGGTGGGGGGTGCTGCCAAGATGAGAGAACGCAGTATGGGTGGACTGGAGGAGGGGTGTGAGTGGCGGTGTGCCAGGGCCCGAGAGCGGTGTCTCATGGGGACTTCCCTGCAGCGGAGCGGGTGACCTCGCTGGGCAAGGACTGGCATAGGCCCTGCCTTAAGTGTGAGAAATGCGGGAAGACGCTGACCTCCGGGGGCCACGCAGAGGTAGGTGGGCTGCGGGCCACTGGAAGGGGGAGTCATGCTGGGGCGAAGGCAGCTACTCAAGGGCCTTTTCTCCGCAGCATGAAGGCAAGCCCTACTGCAACCACCCCTGCTACTCCGCCATGTTTGGGCCCAAAGGTACATTCTGGCAGTCTGCCAACCGCCCCCCCCGG